TAAATTTAAAAAATGTACATACAGAGAGCTCAAACAGCAGAAGAGAGATGTGAGGGCTGTCCAGACAGAACAACACCCAGGTTCTTCGACATACACTATGGTTATTCCACCACTGACCATTTGGCTGAGCCGTAGTCCAGGTGAGTTTGTGTAGCACCATTAAAGGTTCACAGGCAATGAAAGAAACTCCCTGTGATGATAAATATACACCTTTAGTGATTATATGGTAATAATTGAAGTTAGGGGTACATCCAGTTTGCCTCATTAAGGCCAAATGTGTTAAATGCTTTTTCTTTATTTAAATCTCATGTACATGTTTCCTCAAAACATTTGGTTGATCCTTACCTTTAATGCCTAAACCCATGGAACACTGACAAGTCACTCAGTGTAAGGTCTTAACAGAATGCAAATGACCACATCATCCCTGTGTCTGTTGCATGCATGTCCATCTTGACACCTGAACACCACCACTCAGGTTCTTGCTAACAGTCCTGTAGCGCAGCTCTAGTGGTCAGAAACAAGGGACCTTTTAATGGCACTAGCCTGTCATTGCACATTTGAGCAGTCCTGGCCTACCTGTGTATTTGGATCCTGACTTTGGTCTCCCTCTCCTCCTCATAGTGAGCAGTCAGCAGCTGTGCTCCCACTCTCTGTCTGGTCGGTCCGAGCGCTCACAGATGGAGAAGACTTCATCAGGCCTCACTCCAACAGATCAACCTGCCAGCACACCCACGCAGCCGCAGCAGCTCAGTGGGGCCGAGCAGAAGAGTCGTATGGACCTGCAGATGTCTACAGCACTACATGGTACTTGCACAACACAATAGCAAATGTTGTTTAAGGTGGAATTAAACACTGACTGTCTATTTTTTAGAGGTAAGGGCTTTGCAGTTGTGCCACGCATTTCTTACAGTTTTGTTTGCTAACAGGAATCTAACCTTGCAAAAAACATTTGTTAATTATTTGTTACCAAAACCTGAAAATGACTGAATTGCACAAAGAACAGTGTGTGAAGGCCTGACGTTTTGCAGTGAATCGGTGTCCAAGGAATGTGGTTACTGAGGAGTCCATGCATTGTCGGTACAACCCTGTAGTCGAGCAAAGGAGGGAAGGCAGCTGAAACAAAGAGAAATGAGCTTTGATTGGCAAATAAAAGCTGTTTGATTTTTTTAAATCTGATGTGCAGAGCCACAAAATAAGACACTGACTAAGCTGGGGGCCATGTTGGTCTATAAATCAGATGCCTTTTCAAAAAGGCAGCGATGGTTATCTGACCAGATGTTTAGGCTGTGGTTGTGTAGCTAAAAATGTATTTACTAAACAGAAAACTATTCCTTCAGTGGTGAAGTTGGTTTAGCAGCAGATTTGGCCTAAAATGCTATTGCTTCAAAAAAAAATAAAGTCCCCAACATCAAATCAATGCCATTTGTCCTTGTGGGTTTCTCACACACTTCATATATACAACAGACAACATGGCCACAGCTGTCGTCGTCATCATCATCATCATCAGCCTGGATTCCTCCTGCCCAGCTCCTCACACTCCCACCTGTCAAAACACAGGAAACGTGCTGAGTGTCACTGTTGCTACCGAGTGTGCACACGTGCATACTTTTTGCTACATGAACACACATTTTCCCATACACACTTATTCAGCTGTCCCCCGGAGCAGTAAAGAGGCCCCTCCGTTGGGGCAAGTCTTGGCAGATGTGCGGGGTGTTCCGGCTTTCTCTCTGGTATTTTGGTTTTCGAAGCCTGTATTTAAAAGGGACGAGATACTTCAGGGTTTGGGGCAACTTCCACTGGCTCGCTGACGGATCGCTCTGGGAAGCACATGAGGCGGACACTTAATGGCTACTTATCTCTCAGCTGAAGCTCTTGATCATGTCAGAGAACTTTATTGGAGCATTCAGGCGCTATCGGCCCTTTGTAATGATCTGAATGGGTTGTTTGCTGTGAATGGAAGGATGCTTCTTAATGTTGTAAGACAGTGTAACAGGAATAAGCTGCTCCTATAATTAGCAGTCACCACACTCTCCAGCTTTTAAAGAAAAGGCTAAACAATGGCCACTAAAGAGGATTTCTCTGTAAAATGGACAGATATTATTATAAATTGCCTTTTTAATCCATTGACATTTACATCTTGCTCTGTTTCAAACAGCCACTGCCTTGTGATGTGTAAATGCCAGATAAATGTTGGCACTTCACCCACAGTGTAATCTTGTCTAAATGTTGCTGCTGTTCACTTTCCTCTCCTTCAGGGCAGCCGTGCAGCCAGAGCAGCCTGAAATCTATCATGAAGAAAAAGGATGGTCGAGTTGAATCAAGTAGCACCAAGAAGAACCTGCAGTTTGTCGGGGTGAACGGAGGGTGAGTCACAAAAGAAATTCAGCCTCTCTGGTTTGAACTTGTATTGTATCATCCTTACTATTTTAAGTGTTTTTCTTTTATTTTGCATGTTAGGATGCCTGATGGATGGTTTTAGTGCTGTGATTTTGTCATGTATTGGTGTTTCTAGCCCACCTGAGCTTAAAGGTGCTTTTGTTTGACATCTACAAAGCTGCCGTGTTGATGCTCCTTCCTCTTTAACCTGGCCTTGTTCTGGATGAGAGCATGTTGCATGCAAATCATGAAATCAGTGATGACGACACCTCTGTCTTCAAGTTTCTGTACTTTTGTTGCCCCCTTCTGGCCCAGGTACGAGACTACATCAAGTGACGACTCCAGCTCAGAGGAGAGCAGCTCCTCTGGGTCGGATGAAGAGGAGGACGATGAAGAGAAGCAGTATGGAGGAGAGAAGAGGTGCAAGAATGTGGAGGGAGAGAGCACCAGGGAGGAGTTTCAGCCCGAGGGAGCCGAGGATGTAGAGAAGAAGGACGATGAGGAGAGAATGAAGATGCAGCAGGACAGAGACAGGTGGGCTAAAGAAACTTACTGGAGTGAACATGTCAAGTTTACTACACTGTTTACTGAACTACCCTACTCTGTGAACATTGGCTTTGAATGCCATATGAGACAGATGCCCAGCCTTAAGCAATCCTGTCTTAATTTTACCAGCGGTCAGAAAGCATTTAGAGGAGCCATTTGGCAATTTTACGATTCATTTATTGTTATTTTGACAGTATTTCCAGTTGATGGTTCTTTCTTTTGCTTTGATTCCTAAGAATATTGCAAGACTGTCAGTGTATCAGGTTTGCAAGTACAAGATTAGCACGCACCTCGGGTGATATGCATCTAACTTTATTTGCTTGCCTGTTAAATACACACAAATCACAAGAAAGTCAAGCAGCTGCACAGACCAACAGGCCTCCGTTACCTGCATATGTTTTGACCCAGGGTGCATCAGTTGCATTTAAATTTTGACTGTGTTTGGGTTCAAATGGCTGCAATGCCCACATACTGTATATATAAAACATTGTTATCCAACCAGGCACAGATAACTGTCTGAATATTAATTAATGATTGCTACTTGCAGTGTTTGAACAAGTTAAAATAATTGCTGCACGATTTGATAAATCCAGTTGCAAATGTTCTTATATTACTCAGTCAAATTAACAGGTGATTTAATAAATTGAAGTATTGAGCAGTTATTATGTAAGGAGCAACAAAATGCAACAAATGAGATTTAAGTGATCTGAATATTAAAAGAATGACTTGTGACTGTCCTTGGCTGCCCTCTGAAGGTATGAGCTCAGTGAGAAGATGCTGGCTGCCTGCACCGTTCTCAGAACTCACCTCAGTGACCCAAAGGCTGTGAGCAATAAAGACCTGGTGAGGAGGTTTTGTGGTCTTGGTACTTCATAATACTGTAGCATACTGTTTGTTTGTTTTTTGACTGCATGTAGCTGGAGAAGGATGAATATTTTTCCAACTGGTTAATTGTGGTGGTGTAATGTTTTTTTTATTGCACATAACCTACAAGATTTCACATGTACTGTATTTAAGTACCTTTGTTACCTTATTGTACCCTGCAATGCTATTACTTGGACTTTATGGACATTAGGGTTAAGAAAATGGAAGGTGCTTTTATTTCTGTGACTGGTTTAAACTGGTGGATTAAATTTTCCCTCAAGATTCATTTCAGTGTCAACATGTGTTAGCATGGACTTGCACAACACTACACAGATACTGTCACTAGTCGCTAACCAGCCTCCTCCTCCTCAGAGACCCTGTCTTAACACAGTGCAGCATGAGTGGTTTCGTGTGTCCAGCCAGAAGGCGGCGGTGGCAGCCATGGTTGAGGATTACTTGGAGGCCTTTGGGGCCATCTCGCCGGCCGTGCTCCGCCATGTCGTCAACATGGCCGACGGCAACGGCAACACGGCGCTGCACTACAGTGTGTCGCACTCCAACTTCCAGGTGGTGAAGAAGCTGCTGGATGCAGGTGAGCGCAGCAGGACAAATCTGTAAATCCAAAGCAACAAGCTAACTTCTTTCATCTTCTTTTGGCCACAAAGCAGAGCTGGCTATTGTTTAATAATAAGCCCTGTGGCAGAGCATCTGTTTAACAGAATTTTATTTTTTGCTTGTGCTGTATTATGGAAAGCGTTTGCTCAAAAGACAATTTTGCCTTAACTATTGCACCATAATTAACTGGATTCCTGTTGTTTCCGGTTCCTGTGCCAATCGTATTCACTTCCTGTTTACTGTGTCTGTGTCGTGTTGTGCTTGCTACCAGGTTGTTTATGGATTTAGTTCACTAAGTTCTAGGTTTATCTGATCATTAGCTAATTTCTGGGTCACTGTACTACTTAAGCACCTGTGTTACATAATTTCTTGCTAATTTCCAAATTTAACTTGCTACTTTAGGTCAGCTAGCATCTGTTGGAGGTTTCTTCCATTAAAGGGAGTTTCTCCTCCCCGCTGTCGCCAAGAGCTGCTCCAGGGGGATTTGTTGGGTTTTCCCTCTATAATTATAATAATAATAATAGTAAGGTAATAACAGTACCTTACTTTGGAAAGTGTCCCAAGATGACTTGTGTTGTGATTTGGTGCTATACAAATAAAACTGAATTGGATTAATGCACATTATGGGTTGCACAGTCAGAAATCCAATGTTTGTCCACACATACAGTATATCACAGAAGTGAGTACACCCCCTCACATTTTGTAAATATTTAAGTATATCTTTTCATGTGACAACACTGAAGAAATGACACTTGGCTACAATGTAAAGTAGTGAGTCTACAGCTTGTATAACAGTGTAAATGTGCTGTCCCCTCAAAATAACGCAACACACAGCCATTAATGTCTAAACTGCTGGCAACAAAAGTGAGTACACCCCTAAGTGATAATGGCCAAATGGGGCCCAAGTAGCCGTTTTCCCTCCCTGGTGTCATGTGACTCGTTAGTGGTACAAGGTCTCAGGTGTGAAGGAGGAGCAGGTGTGTTAAATTTAGTGTTATCACTCTCACTCTCTCATACTTGACACTGGAAGCTCAACATGGCACCTCATGGCAATGAACTCTCTGAGGATCTGAAAAAACGAATTGTTGCTCTACATAAAGATGGCCTAGGCTATAAGAAGATTGCCAAGACCCTGAAACTGAGCTGCAGCACGGTGGCCAAGACCATACAGCGGTTTAACAGGACAGGTTCCACTCAGAACAGGCCTCGCTGTGGTCGACCAAGGAAGTTGTGTGCCCGTGCTCAGCGTCATATCCAGAGGATGGCTTTGGGAAATAGGCGTATGAGTGCTGCCAGCATTGCTGCAGAGGTTGAAGGGGTGGGGGGTCAGCCTGTCAGCGCTCAGACCATACGCCGCACGCTGCATCAAATTGGTCTGCAAGGCTGTCGTCCCAGAAGGAAGCCTCTTCTAAAGATGATGCACAAGAAAGCCCGCAAACGGTTTGCTGCAGACAAGCAGACTAAGGATATGGATTTCTGGAACCATGTCCTGTGGTCCGATGAGACAAAGATAAACTTATTTGGTTCAGATGGTGTCCAATGTGTGTGGCGGCAACCAGGTGAAGAGTACAAAGACAAGTGTGTCTTGCCTACAGTCAAGTATGGTGGTGGGAATGTCATAGTCTGGGGCTGCATGAGTGCTGCCGGCACTGGGGAGCTACAGTTCATTGAGGGAACTATGAATGCCAACATGTACTGTGACATACTGAAGCAGAGCATGATTCCTTCCCTTCGGAGACTGGGTCGCAGGGCAGTATTCCAACACGATAACGACCCCAAACACACCTCCAAAATGACCACTGCCTTGTTAAAGAAGCTAAGGGTAAACGTGATGGACTGGCTAAGCATGTCTCCAGACCTAAACCCTATTGAGCATCTGTGGGGCATCCTGAAACGGAAGGTGGAGGTGCGCAAGGTCTCTAACATCCACCAGCTCCGTGACGTCATCATGGAGGAGTGGAAGAGGATTCCAGTGGCAACCTGTGAAGCTCTGGTGAACTCTATGCCCAAGAGGGTTAAGGCAGTGCTGGAAAATAATGGTGGCCACACAAAATATTGACACTTTGGGCCCCATTTGGCCATTATCACTTAGGGGTGTACTCACTTTTGTTGCCAGCAGTTTAGACATTAATGGCTGTGTGTTGCGTTATTTTGAGGGGACAGCACATTTACACTGTTATACAAGCTGTAGACTCACTACTTTACATTGTAGCCAAGTGTCATTTCTTCAGTGTTGTCACATGAAAAGATATACTTAAATATTTACAAAATGTGAGGGGGTGTACTCACTTCTGTGATATACTGTATGCAGTCCCCCCCATGACACTTCCACACATCAACCTCTCTGAAAGCTCGACAGACTGTGATGAGGTCCCGGACTCTTGCTACTCTCAAAGCGTTTTGTCTCCTCAGCCTTTTGTGTCCTTGTTCTGTGTGACAGCATATCCACCCCCCCCACCCTTTACCATTGTAGCCTTTGTCATCACACAGTCTTAAGACAGTTCCTTAGCCCTCTCCTCCTCTCAGTGGCAGAGCAGACACCCTCACTCCTGTCCCAGCTCTGATGTCCCGACTCTTTGCCGAGACGAAGCTCCAGGTCTGTGAAGTGTAAAAGATTAGTTCTTTGAGGTTCAGACAAGGCGTTGTGGACCCAGGACTGTATCAATGAGAAGCGATTCCATCCACGGTCTGGCACAAATACATTACTGTGGTGGTGACTGGCAGCCAGCGACAAGTCAATCAAGACCTCCTGTGATGAAAGGGTCGGCTCTCAGGCCCCATGTCAACTGTGTGTGTGTGTGTGTGTGTGTGTTTTTCAGATGTGTGTAACGTGAACCAGCAGAACAAGGCGGGATACACACCCATCATGCTTGCCGCGCTGGCTGCTGTGGAGACCCCAAAGGACATGCATATTGTGGAAGAGCTCTTCAGCAAAGGCGACGTCAACGCTCGAGCCAGCCAGGTCAGTGAGGAGGTCAGAGGTCAGCTGCAGGGCACCAGCAGCTACTACACATGGTTTAAGCCTCAGTCAGCAGAGAGATAGAAGACAGGCCAAAGTCTTTGTTTAGAAACCAAAATGACTTTTTATAATATTATATACTTTGACAGTAACTAAAAGTAAGAGTCTGCGTCACGTCCAGTGTTAGCGACGGTTATTTAAAAGGCTTAAAATAAGGCCTTATTGTCTGCTGGTTCTTTTGATTCATTAAGAAAATCAGATGCACATAAAACCAGATTAGCAAGCTATTTGATTATGGCCTAATGGAACATTATAAATGAGCTTATTTCTTTGTATAGACAAGTCAAGTGATTAATCAAAAAGGTAACTGTCAGTAACTGAGAGTGAAAGTAATCCTTATTTGGATGAAAGCCTCTCCTGAAAACAGCTGATGCTGGTCATATGGTTTATTTCATGGACAACTGGCAGCATCATGTCCTGAAATGTGTTGAATGAGACAGGGAAGCAGAAATATTGATGGTGTTTTCTGAAGGTTTAAACACTAATTGTTTGGATGCCTAACCTGATCCTAGTCTTAAACAAGCTAGTTAAAGAACTAGGTATAAAAATGTAACTGCTGTGTTTACTACTTCTTCAGGCTGGTCAGACAGGGCTGATGCTGGCGGTCAGTCACGGCAGGATGGACATGGTTCAGGCCCTGCTGGCTCACGGGGCCGACGTCAACATCCAGGATGACGAGGGCTCCACAGCGCTGATGTGCGCCAGCGAACATGGCCATGTGGAGATCGTTAAACTGCTGCTGGCTCAGCCTGGCTGTGACGCCACACTCAGCGACAGCGTGAGTAACTTGTGACATGCAGGGACACCCTCAGAATCAGATCTGGAATTGGTGACATCAGGGCGAGGAAAGTTGCACACAGGATTTTTAACATTCTTGTTGTTTTATCGTATTGTTTATGTGCTTTACCAAAAAATAAGCTGTACAATAATCAACATGAAAAGTCAAGTCTGTGGCTGCACATGCAAAATCAAAGCATGTCTCCACAGACACATGCCCACAAACGGCTGAGAAATCATTTCTGCAAACAGCATAAAACTTTACAATTGTAAGTTAGGTTTATGTGTATTCCCTGTCTGAGTGGTGATGTACACTTCCACTGTGGTTTGACTGACATGAACACAGTATCAGTACAGAGACAGCAGGCCTTTAATAAATGTGCTAGTGTTTGTTCAAAGGGTTTAAACCCTCCTGAATGAAAAGTAGAGACAGACTGAAAATAAAATGAGACACAATGCAGTGCTGATGGGTTTTAATATGCATCGTAAATTGGACAATGCCTATATGGGCAAACAGAAACTCCAACAAAATTTGACAGCGGAGCTGCTCATTGGAAAGGATTTCTGATTTCTCTCAACACATTCCCTCGTTGTCTTTCTTTCCCATCTTTTCCTGCATCTCTCCTCACGTTTCAAAGAAACAGACACAAGGGACGTGAGGATGCACTTAAGGGAATTGAGATGCAGCCGCTTTTCCTTCTGTGACATGTCAAAATGTCTCAAACAAAAACACCTACAAGATTTGCAGTGGATCTTCTATAATTGTTCTTTTTGTCTCTTTATCCTTGTTGACTTGCTGTGTTCTCTCCTGTCAGGATGAGAGTAATGCCTTGTCCATAGCTCTGGAAGCAGGACACAAGGACATTGCAGTGTTGCTCTATGCGCATATGAACTTCTCCAAAGCCCAGCCACCGGTATGTATGGAGCTAAAACGTGCTCTGTCATATTCCTTCTCTGTGCTTAGGCTGATGTTTATAGAGAAAGATAGTTGTGTTATTCATCTGATACTTTTATTAAGAAAAACATTTATTTTTAAAGCTGCTGGAGTGAATATCAGTCCATGTTAACAGAATGGAAGGATCAGAAGTAATGTGTTTGAAACCTGTATTTAACCCAAAGATGAGATACATGTTTGTTTTAGTAACTAACCTGCGAGGTGGTCGGATCAAGCTCTTTTTTTAAACATCTTTAAAGTTGTGTTACTTAGGTTGTTAGGCCAAATGATGGACAGTGGTATCAAAGTATTCAGACTCCTTCACATTTTGTGTTCCTGGTGTTACAGATTCAGGAGTCTGAATACTTTTGTAAATGAGAAAATTCTTATTTTGGCTTTTAATAAAACTCAAAAAAAAAAGTTATGATGCTAATCAATTTCAGTGTGATTTTTTTTTTGTTTGTTTTCTGATGATTTAGTTAATAAAAAGGAAGAAAAATGTAAAGTCAGTTTTGTATCAGTCGCAAATTTGCCTCAAAGGTTTTTGCCATCTCAACCCCGTGAAGAAAAAACTCCTTTAGCCTTCACTCTTTCGCCCTAAATTCATGTATATTTACACACTGACTGTTTACATTGTGTGTTTGTGTACGACTGTCTTCTAGGGAACACCTCGACTTGGCAGGAAGACGTCGCCCAGTCCCACTCGGAGGGGCATGTTTGATTAGAGGCCCCGCCTCTGTCCACGGACACTACGCTGCTATTGGATCACACTGAATGGTGCCTTAGCCTCAGCTGGAAGGGGGGGGCTTGATCCCAAGCACCAACTAACTAATCAGCCAACCAACCAATGAGATTTCTGGAAAAAGTTTTGGATTTATGTGCACGTTTGCCTCTGTGACGAGCCCAAAGTGCCCTTGAGTTTCAGGCTGAATGTAACCAGCGGCTGAAATGTCTCAAATAATCAGCAAACTACTGAGTTCAGATGAACACAGACACAAATTCAACTACAAAATGCCATTTTGTTCCTATAGTTGTTTAAGGATTTCCTTTTTGTTTTAAAATTTGACCTTTTTTTTTTTATTTCTACAGCTCAATGTTGATCATTAAGGAGCACCAAAACATCTTAAATTTAGATTTTTACCTTTTTTTTTTTTTTTGAGAACACCAGATTAGACGGGTGGAGAACTGCTCGCCGCGACACCCCGGTGTCACATATGTGCACCCAGCTCTACAGTATGTGGATGAATGTGTTGGTGAATAGATGACATCTAGACTGGAGAAATTCTGCTTTTATACAAATCCTGCTTATCTATTTAAAAAGAAGAATCACAGTATTTTGAATATTTCCTATTACTACCTAATCCATGAAGCTATATATATTTATCAAAGTATAGTTTTTAATGCAGATATGTGTATTTCATTGTACATAGTGGTCGTTAGTTTAGTTTATTCTCCTGTTTGCCTCCATGTCCAGCTTCTTTCGCTCCGTGTCTCATATGCAAGATAAGCAGTCTTTCCTCCTGTAGTATTCATCAAGGTACTGACTTTCATCTTGAAATGAGAATTGAAGTGCCTGACACTTTGCCATGTAACAATAAACCTGATTAAAGATTATAGATCAGTCTGTTCTCTATCGGTGACCCACAGACCTTAAATGTTACCATTTAATGGGAATTGAACTGCACTGAGGACAGTGGTGGAAAGGAAGTATGTTTACTTTTGCACACACACTTAATTTTGAAGTACTTGCACTTGAGTATTATTTTAAGCTACTTTGAACTTCCACTCCAATAAACTTCAGAGGGAAATATTTTACTGCCCCATATTTGTCTGCAAGGTTACTGGGTAGATTAGCACCAATATTCAATGTATTACAACAAATCCTGGTTATTTATGAATGTTGACTTGACAGTGACCCCCCCCCCCCCCCCCATTACAGAAAGTAAGTAACATTCAGTAGCTCCACCTTTACCAGCTGCATTAAACATTTAGTGAATGCATTCTCTATTGAGTGCTTTTAATTTTGGTCCTGCAAGCACATTTTGATATTTCATCATATTTTTATACTTTTTAAGTAACATTTGAGTGTAAGATTTTTATTTGTAACAGTATTTCTATGTGATGGCATAGTTACTTTTAATGTAAATTATACAAGTGTTGCCTCAACCACCGAATAATGACCATGTTTCCAGTTGTATGACCAATGACCTACAAGTGTAAAAAATGTCTAAGACAAAACTGAACAGACGGAAATAACATCCTTAACTTCACCTTTGTAAATTCAGATGTCAAGGACGGAGTCGATAAAACTTTCCATCCAGAGTAAAAATGTCAGGGCTGCAGTGGTTACTTGCTCGAAAGAAAATTAATTTGCAACTATTTTGATAGTAGGTGAATCTTTTCAGTCATTTTAATGTAAAAGTGCTGTGTTCTAAAATGTGCCAGTTTTCTGTTTTCTCATACAACATTGCCTGTTTTCGGGGTTGTGAACTGCTGGTGTGACTAAGCATTTTAGGTACCGCACTGGTGAAGTTTAGTTTTTAATAAATACCTAACCAAGTTCATTAGGATGGGGACCGTGTGTGGTTCACACATTTTATCAGTAAATCAACATAGTATTAGAGCTTGTTGCTGCATGATTCTAAAGAAGTGGGATCAAGAAAAACCTCTGGCTGTAAGATGACTCATTTCTTGATTTTAAAAATGCAAACCTTCAGCGTAATTAAGTTTCTTTGTAATTTCAAGCTTGCACTGAGATGACCGGAATCGTCTTCGCTCATCATTATCACAGCACAGGAGCAAGTAGTGAAGGAGCAGACCGTTTTCTGTTGCTCACTGACCCAAAAACCAAGGAAAATTAAAAATTTCATTTTTACTTTGGAAACTTTCAAAATAAGAAGTGTCAAATACATCAACACTTTTCAAGTCTTTTATAGCACAAGATGTGTGTGGAACACTTGGCAAAAAACAGTGGGTAAATAGAGCGGTTTCAACATTAAAAACCTTTTACACTTTTTAAAAAAAGTAGTTTTGTTAAAGGTCATTTCCGTTTGGTGACTAAGTGTTTGGAGGTCAAGAAGCCGACGGCTGAATCAGGCACGATAATGGAGCTGCTCGCTGTCTTCTGACCAGGTTTCCTGAGAGAAACAACCGCAGGAATACACGTACTGTAAGATTATAAAAAGTCTGACATTTTCAAAACAACAAAGTGAATTCTACATCTGCAATGAAAACTGCTGCCTATTTTTGCAAAATGAGTTGAAATAGCTGTTAATTTTGTCCGTTTTTTTTTAAAGCTACATTAACTAATTTTCAACCATTAAGGGTGAAGTGAGAGTCTGAACAAACTCAAGCGGTACCCTCTCCTCTTCTCCCTCCAATCACTTTGCCTCTCCTGCCCTGCCTGTGAAACTAGGTCATATGTGGTCACCACAGCTGTAGCACAACGGTAATAACCAGCTCCAGAACTAATGTATACAGAATATAGAGCCCCAGTTCTTGGTGGCATTGCAGCAACACGGTGTCAAACAGTGTTAACCCTAGTTTTGCCTTATTCCTTGTCACAGTCTTTCTGTGCTACAGGATGCGGCCTCTTGGGTCTAACAGGTCCACTCCCATCCTGGGTTGTACCTGCACAGGTAGCCTCACATCTTAGAACTTGGAATAAGTGCAGTGTGGATTTCAACAACATTGGCCATTGAGGGCAAGAAATAAACTGGAAATAGCAGAGTGGGGTGAGGGTGTTGGTGCGGCAGGGAGACAACACTTCCAAGTTTTTACTCGATTTATCCATATTTGTGCTAAATCTTAGTTAATGCAGCTTTATATAGAAAAATGTAGGGCTCATTTTTAGGTGACACGTATGTCTTCAAAACATACAGCGTATACTATTCGTAAAAGGAACGTACAGCATCTACTGTGCATAAAAGGAATCCTAGATTTATCCTCTGGGCAATATTCTTTCCACCAGCTGAAACGATACCTCCACTGCAGAGCTGATAACTAACCTGTGCAGAGGCATGGTGGTGCTGCTGGCCCCAGGTCTCATCCGGGGGAGTGCGTGTTTGTGTTTCAGTGCGGGAGGGGGAACGAGGCCGAGATCACCTAACTTGTAGCGGGCCAGATGGAAGTGGAAACTTGAAGCTGGATCCAGAGTCGCAGCTCTGTAGGTGCACAAAAAACAGGATACTGGTGACAAAGGTGGAGTCCTCCAACTCATGCTCAGTTTGGTTTCACTCTGTCAAATTTGTTAAGAACACAACTGCACTGCTGAAATAATGCACCAGACTTTAGTTTTCTCTGTTGTGACTGGGTCATGCACTTAATCTTGGCATCCAACATTAAGTCACTCTATTATAATGTCATTTTCTATTTATTGAGAACTACCAAGGCATTTACAAATATTTTATTATTTGACTGGCTTATTAACACCAGGCTTCTTTTGTCCCTAAACATCAACTGAAGTCAAGGGTTTGCAAACCTGGAGTCCAGTTACTCGCCATTGCTTCTGTAGTTACTGCTTTCTGCCACTGGATGGCAGTATAGTCGCACAATGCAGCCATTCACAGCCCTTTTAAAAAGCTACAAAATTGTGGTTGGTAGAGAAAACATAATCCAGTCAGAGGGGGTGATTTTCTTACTGGATTGCTGCAAGGTCAGAGGTCTGCAGCTCATTCAGCTGCTCCTTCTCAGCAGTGAAGCTGGTGCATTGTCTATCCAAGACCACCAGCAGCTTCTGCATCAGCTCCTTCCACTGGACGACAGAGTCCACCTCTGACTCCTGCTTGGTGATCAGCTCCTGTGGGAAGCAAAGCCAACATCTGGGCTGAAAAAGCCAAAACGATCTCATTGTCTGAGATTATTCTGACAGCGCTTGGCCAAGTCACCACTTTCCTATTGCTACACCAGTGCATTATTAACCTCCTTGACTGGTCTAAATCTTGCGCTCTACCACAAAATGATGATTTGTAGATTATTCAAATATAATGATGTAGTGTCACAAGGTTCCTCTCAGTAACAAACGATCAGTTCAAAGATCAGTACGAGTTGTGTGATGTTCTCAAATAAGTTAAAATCAGTCCAGTGGGCTACGACAACTGCAAACCTTCCTATAAACATGTTTAAATGACCTGACGTTCCTGATTAAGTGTTCAGAGCAATAGATTTACCATCATGGCTTGTCTGAGAGTGGTAGCTGCTTCCTGCATGATGCTCTTCATCCTGCTGCTCCTACTCCTCTCCTCCTCTAGCTTTGCCTCCAGTCGACTCACCTCAGCTCTGCTGGCACTGCTCTGCTCAGACAGCGAGGCCTGGTCACACCTGCAAAACAAAACAAAACAAAAATAAGTAATGCCCTTAATTTCTTTTTTCATTTGACCAGAAATCTAAAACCAAAAAACATTTAATTTACTATTTTATATGACAAAACTGAGCATAGAATCCATATTTTTGAGAAGCTGGAACCAGGAAATATTTGGCATTTTGTGTGAAAAATGACAGACTTGAGTAGATCAGATCTTTCTTGCTGTTAACAAATGAGTCAGTCAATTAATCAAGTAATTGTTGCAGCTCAAATGTTAATGCGAAACAGCGAGTTGAGACAATAGAACTTTGTGCTGCAGACTCAGCTGATAATTCTGGTTCATATCTCTGAACAACCTCCTTCACATTGTTAGTGTTTTCATGGGACATTGTGCTGATAAAATACCTGCCTTTATTTCTCTGCATGTTCAAAGTTCATTCTTTTTACGCTAAAAGTTGCTGTTAATCGGACTGTCTGTCATCTGCTGAATGTTTTGAGCTGAGCTAGTGTTTCCTGCATGCACCAGTCTTTTTTTTTTTACTGTCGTCTCAAGTGTGTATAACTAACTGTTTAATTACCAGGTAAACTCTGTCATTCCATTATCTTATACCTGCACAATGTTCAGATGCAAATGAAATCTTTTCAGTGTTATGGTTGGTAGAGACAAGAGGAAACCTTGACCTGAGTGCTTCCATCTCAGCCAGGGTGGCTTTGTGTTTGGCCTGGAGCTGCTCAAGTTCCTGCTTGCAGTCTTTCTCCTCTGCCTGGAGCTGCTGACACTTCTCTGTCAGCTGCTCCGCCACCTAACGGTGAGAAGATGTTGATTTATTTTTTAAATAGATCATTTGACTTTCATATTAAAAACCAGGCTATGGAAAAACAAAATGAAAGCTGTCTTCCTGTGGCAGTGGGGATTATAAAAGACGATCAGAGCAAGGTAGGTTCAACACCTTTGACAGCTGCTGCCCTACTACTCGTAACTTTCAGATAACTGTCTCTTAGAAAATAATACAGAGAATATTATATGAAACAGGATCCTGGGACAGTGGATATAGAAAACCTTCCTCCTGCCATGGAAATGAGAAGCTAATTTTGCAGTTCTATTATTGAAAACTAAGGTGCATAATACCACAACTTTTCAAAACTTCCTTCTCCTCTGGAAAGCATGAATGTGCCAGGGCTACACTCTGTCAAAATACCCACAGCACAGAGCTTCTGATTGTCAGAGTATTATGCACACCAATAACCTAATTTTGATGCAAATAGATGTTACAAATCATGAATTGCAATTACAACTCATCCCAAATATTACAATTATATATACAGTATATACAATTCACACATACAGTTATCAATATACACAGTATACTGTATGTTTAATAACTGTAACACCCTTTGCACACCCCCTGGGCTCAGGTAACCAATAGATACACATCTATAGCTTAAAATTAATTAGCCTATAAGTCTTTCTCTTGCCTTCTTGTGGATGCAGCTCTGACGGGATATCTCCCTGACTGTTTGTTCCAGGATGTCCACCTCCATGCTGAGCTTAATCTTATCCTGCTGCAGGGGCGAGTTCTCCTCCATCAGGACTGAGTTCTCCTCCATCAGGGCCGAGTTCTCCTTCTTTAGGGCCTGTACCTGTTCTGACAGCTGGCTAATGGCAGCCTTCGCCTTTGTGTTGCTCTGAAGGACCAATCTGATCGTCTCTGAAACCTGCTGGTCCACCAAGTGCTTCACCTGTGCTGCCATGCGGCTGTCAATCTCCTCCTCCAGCCTTTCGTCAGGAAACAGGAGCAGGGAAGGAAACAGGGGTGAACCCAATAATGATCTTGGCACAAAAGTATGGGTGAATAATAAAAAACAGCATACTGAAGCTTGTAGAGGACTGATGAGCATTGCTTATTTTTATTGCTACAATCACAGATGGAAGCCCAGACTCAACCTCCTGTTTTCCTGCAGTGCTTTCATCTCCAGTTTGTGGATGGCAACTTTATGTTGCTGCTCCTCTCTGGCCATGTTGGACATCAGCTGTTCCTTCTGCTGCTGAAACTCCTCCACTGGGAGGAGGAGAAGAGAATCACTTTGGCTTTGCTTGGTTTTATTGGTGAGTTTATTTACTGTGGTTGTAAAATGCTGATGTTACAAGTATGGCCAGTGTCAGTTTTTCCACAAGGATTCAAAGGCCTATCTGTAAATATTTGTGTCTAATAAAATGCCATGATAGATTTTGGATTAGAGGTGTAAATAACGATGTTAGTTTGCAAAAGAACTGTTCACAACTGATGTGTGCTGTAGTTGCTACCTGAATTCATTTATTCATTTCCAAGACGGTGGAAAATGAATTTCATAGTGTGGGAAAACATTTTTCCTTTGATAGTGGTATTTTTATACACACACATACACACACACACTTTTTTTTCACTTAAATATGTTTGATGTGGAACAACGTTGAACCAAAAAAAGTTACCAAAAAGTTACTGAAAACAGGATAAAACCTCCTGGTTTAACCCACAGTCTCACCAAGTGCTGCCTTCTCCTCTGTAAGTTCTTTGAGCCGACCTTGAAGCTCTTTGAGCTGGCTGTGCTGCAGCTGCAGGGCATCTCTGTCCTTATCGGCAGCCTGCCGTTGACTCTCCAGGCACTCTGTCAGCTTATCCGCCTCATCCTCTTTCTCCAAAAGGGAGCGTTTCAGATACTCAACAGTGTCCTTCTCCTCCTCCTCCAGTGTGTGGTACTGAGTGTTTAAGACCTTCTTCTGCCTCTCCAGTTCATCATTCTTCAGCTTATATCTGCAGAAGAATGAGGGACATACTATATATATGGAAGACTGAGAGCTGTCTTCCTCTTCCAGAATTTGCAGGACATCTCTGACTCCCACACAGCTGGAAACAGTGATTGTTGTATATTGTATTATAGTGAATCTTTAGCATGCTGGTATGTACAGGTGCATCTCAATAAATTAGAATATCGTGGACAAAAATTATTTCAGTAATTCAACTCAAATAGTGAAACTCATGTATTATATAAATTCAGTACACACAGACTGAAGTAGTTTAAGCCGTTGGGTCTTTTTATTGTGATGATTTTGGCCCACATTTAACAAAAACCCACCAACAACAAAGAAGCTAACCTAACAGCAACAGCAAAAACGCTGCGCAAATTAGAGTTGGTCAGAAGTGATTTATTTAGCCATATTTGAAAAATAAGCCTCTAGCAGAGTTAGACGCTATCTAAAACGCATTTAGCTGTTTGAGCGAATAAACATATCATTTTGCAAATAAAGAAAAGATGTATGGGGTAAAAAAGGAGCGTCTGCGGTAGACTAGTAACGTAACGTTACCTCTCCAACTGCTCCTCCAAATACCGTATTTGAATCAGGTAGACATCCTTTTCTTTCTTGTCTGGACCGATTTTATTTGTAGGCCTCTCGTTTTTCGATGTTTTCCTGTCTTCATCTTGTTTGTCACCGCCTTTTTTAGCCTTCTTTTTGGGCATTGTGTCTCAGAAAGTTTGCTAAGTTTACGCGAGAGCCAGCGTAGAAACTAAACGTTGTTGCTAGACAACAATGGTGCCTTCATGGACTCCTCGAAAAGTTGTTCTCTACTTTTTCTACTATTTCAAGTTCTCTGGTTATTTAATCCCATTATTTATTATCACCACATGCCAGACCAGATTGAAAAATTTGGTAATTAACATTAAAGAACTGATAGCATCTTGTTATGCTTGCCACACACGGAGGAAATTTTGTTTCTAGTATTGCAGTACTTGAAAGCAGTACTTTTACTCATTGTAGTATTTTTATGGTGAGCTATTTGCTACTTTTAGGAACTTATCGATTGCACATTATAAGTAATAATTTACTACAAAATAGTTGTGTCTTTTTAGGTTTACTTTTTCATCACTGAAGTATGTGATAGTCTCACAGTTTATTTCTACTAAATTTTATAAAAGTGCAGCCATGACCTCTGGGTTCCTCATCATATTAGGTCATGTCCAGCTCAGTGGAGATTAAAAAAAAAAAATCTCGTGGCACTTTGTAGTTTTCCTTGTAACCGAGTATTTTCAACCTACACTTACTGTGCTACTTTTAGTTAAGTAAAGATTCGGTGCTTCCGCCACTGCAGCAGGTCACTTGAAACACTGGGCTTTATGTAAACTATAAACATGTTTTACCAGTAATTTAGTGTGAAAACCAAATCAGAGTGTAATAGAGAGACGCCACTGTCCTGACAGCTTTCTCCCCGTTTCCAGCTCGTTTGCTCCCAATGCAGTTTGGAAAAAAGCCCAGGATTTGGGAAAAAATGCAATAGTAAGGCGGGGATGGGCGGAGACGGACAGTGACCTTATAGCCTCCACCCTGGCACCAATAAGCTCTAACCAGCCTTGTCGTCCATGGACAGGTTTGGCAGTTGGCAGCATAGTTGTATGGTTTTACTTCCACTATGAACAAGGACAAGCAGCGCAAGCAGGTGCTGGACTGCACCCTACCTCTGTCCCCCTCAAAAAAAAGCCAGAAACTGCCCAGGATGCCCAAGTGCGCCCGCTGTAGGAACCACGGCTATGTTTCCCCTCTGAAGGGGCACAAGCGCTTCTGCAACTGGAGGGACTGCCAGTGCTCCAAATGTAAACTGATAGCCGAGAGACAGAGAGTCATGGCGGCTCAGGTAACCGTTACTTTAGCTCTTGGCGCGGCTAGATTTAGTTGAGCTGAAAGTGATGCCTTTAAAAAAACAACACGGACGAAATTAATCAGTGAAGCATGGACTTGTTTGTAAACATTTTGGCTTAATGTTTGTATACATTTTAACCTGTGGCCGAGTTTACTTTAGTTCAATTTTCTGGTGTTTACTAACCTGAAATGTAATTTTAGCTAACGCTTAGCTTATAAACAGCTAGCTTAACTTTATAAACGTCGTACTGGAAGAAGCACTTGGAGGCTTTACTTAAGCAATGCCACTGTAAAAACACTGTGTTATAAGTAAAAGTCCTGCGTTCTGAATGTTAAAGTAAACGCACAAAAGTATTAGCATCAAAATATACATTAAAGTACCAAAAGTAAAAGTACTCATTGTGCAGAATGGCACATATATAATTTCAAGTGTTGCTTTTGGGCAGGTCCATTGAGTGTATGTTTAGAAATTGGCTAAGTAACACTAGGACAGCAAATAACTGTTACTGTTATTATTATTAGTTAATTTGCTAATTGTTGTTTTATTGTTTTATCAGTTGTTTTGTCCATAAAAAGGTTTTGAAAAGCCTGTTAAGATTATAAACATCTAAATATAATGTCTTTAAATATCTTGTTTTGTATGATCCACAGGCCGAAATCCAGAAATATCCCATCTACTATGGTAAAAAGAACTATCAAATACTCAGAAGCTGTAACTGGCAAATATGTGGCAGTTTTACTTAAAACATGTCTTGATTGTTTGATTAGTTCTTTATCATCGACCAACTAATGATTGCGGCTCTAAAATATTCATTTCAGCTACAGTATCTGTCTCTTTGTAACATGCCATAGTTTCAAAATGTAAATAACATCAATTCATCTTTGTTTTGTAAGGAAGATGATGTCAAACATTAGTAAGAGTTGTAACACACTGAGGCAAAACAAAAGCTTTCCAAGGAATAGACCAGCACATCACAGGGCAGAGTCATCACCAAATAACAATAATAGATCTACAATAAGTAGTTGATTAATTAATTAGCCAGTTAACAGAAAAAAAATCACCTGTTTTTATAATCAACTAAGTACTTTTTCAGCCACAAGTGGCAAATAAAGCTATTAGCAGTCTCTTAGATTTTCTGCTTTTATCTGTTTTAGATTCCAAATTCACTATCTTTGGCTTGGACTATTAACTAGACAAAACAGGACATTTCAAGAATCACGTTGGGGTTCTTTTTTTCTATTTTCTGACATTTTATAGGCTAAACAATTAATCAGGTAATTAATTACCAGATTAATTAATAATGACAATGTTGGTTTGCTGTAGCTGAAATAATAAAATATCAGATTTTAAAAAGTTCAGTTAAGCAGACCTGCACTCAATAATATATTCACTTAAAAAAACACAGCAACTAACATATTCATAGGTCTACGATGTGTACAGTATATAGCTTTCTTGTGTTTTACCACCCTTGTACAATTGAAGTAATAATTTCTAATTGAGTCCAGTTATTATTTTGTAGCAAGTAGATGCTGAGTGTAGTCTGTAGAGTCAGTAGATAAGTGTATTATTTTGTGTAATGCCAAGCGGTCCCTTATCAGGTCTTTCCTTTCCTCCCCTCCAGGTCGCCTTGAGGAGACAGCAGGCCCAGGAGGAGGAGCTTGGGCTCTGTAGTCCAGTGGCTCTGTCGAGCCCTGAGGTGATGGTGAAAAATGAAGCTGGTGCAGACTGCCTCTTCTCTGTGGAGGGACGAAACCCGACGCCTACCGGCACCTCGACTTCTTCTCCTGCTGCTGCAGGTGAAGTCTCTCAAACAGTTTACTGTCCTGCCACGGCCTCTTGTGACCTTTTCACTTGTCACAGCGCTGATGTAGCCCACAGCTCATTATTCAGCTGTAAGTCAGTGTCCCAACAACTAGGGATGTCACAATACCAGAATTTTAGTAATTGGTATCAATACCATTGTAGTTCTCCAATACTTGATACCAATTTCGATACTATGGCAAAAATAAACCAATGAAATAAATGTATTTCAACATGAGTTTTTTATTCCATTCCAACAGCAAGGGTGTTATGGAGCCTTCACCTTCGGGTAATAAAAAGGCATTAATGTTTAAAACAGAATGATATTGTACAAATAAATGCTTTTGACTTGACATTTCTACTGCAGTACCCAGCTGCCTGAAATATGAAAAAAATGCTGATTTTGTGAAAGACAGTTAGGAGATCTCCATACTCAAGTAACTTATGTTGGTGTATAATAGTTAAGGTGCAGCGCTCTCGCTGCTGCGGTCCAGGTTCGAGTCAGGGTTGCGTCAGGAAGGGCATCCGGCATAAAACACATGCCAAATGTCAACATGCGAGTCGTCAGTGTGATGATTTGCTGTGGTGACCCCTAAATGGGAAAAGCCGAAAGTGACTTTCTTTCTTCTATTGGTACTAAATGAGCATTAAACAAAAATAAAATTATAAGCAGATCATTGAACAATAGTAAAGAATGCAAAACAAGTACAGTACATTATAAAACGTACAAATATACACACATATACATGCATACACATAAACTTTCATACACAGTAAGATAACATCAAGTTAAAAGGATACTTTTGTAATAACAGTAATTCACGGGCTGAGATTTAAAGAAAATATTTATATAAATGTTTAAATTGAGAAACTAACTAAACAGTTTTCTGAATGTAATGTAGTGAGTTGAGAATATTTTTACAAACCTATCCATTGATAGCTCTTATAGGCAGTTTGTTTTGCCACTCACGGTGGTGACACGGTGCCTGGACAACATCAGTACGTGATATAAATAAATACACAGTTAATTCTTAAGTTAGATTTTATTTTAAAGCTGAGTCATTTTCTTATAACTGATAGTTTCAAGTGCTGGTTTAGGTTTTGTTTTGATAAATATTCAACAGTAGACTTGCTCTGAATAATAATCAAACATCACTGAGCTTTGTAAGTCCACTGTTATTCAGTGTTATAAAGCAGTAAAATGTGAAAAAGGCCACAGGACTGGAATGTTTTTCTTTAATTTCTATGGGAAACAAGTGAAAATGAAAGTTGATTTGGTGGCAGCAGTATGAATGGCATCCTTGATTTCTTTGTTGGTGGTGCGGAGGCAGACATGGATATCGTGTTCCCATGGCCTGATAGCAAATTTTAGGAGGGAATATGACTGGTCAAGGTTCCTCTTGTCTTGTCTTGACTCTGCTTTATATGTGTGAAAGCATGAACTTTTGGTCCCTGGCTTGGCAACAGAGAGCAAAGACTGAGGTGGAAAAAGGAGTTGAGCACTGTGTGATTCACTGATGACAAGAGTTAGAACAGGGACAACAAATGTCATTATCTTTGACTTCAGTGGTGTACAGTGTCTTCATTGTGTAAGACTGAAAGATCAGGGTCTGCCTGAGAAGAATGTGGCCTTGTTGATAAGGAAAGTGCAACAGATAATGAGTTATGATGATTTGATGGTCTCATTCGTCGTGGTAGGGCAAGCCACATTGCTCTGTTGTGATGGTGTGTTGTGGTACGTCTGCTGATCAGACACTAAGTTCAGCTGTCACCTACAGATGGTGCTGTTGACAGTAGATTGATCTAGGGGTGGCATCATGAAAAAAATCTTGCCAAGTTTAATGAATATAGATGTGTACAACATAGACATTTTAGTCAAGTGCCTCCACAGCAGCTTCAGTGCACCTCACCTCTTCTAAAACAGATCCCATCACTGTGTCCAGCACACATTTTCATCCTCATTAAGCCATTCAGTAACCTGGAGCTGTGACCATTAGTGAGATAGAAAGTTAACCCACAACTATTTTGATGCAAAGTCACCAACATGTTATTGTACCACCTTTTAATGTGAGGAACTGATGCTTTTCTTTGACAGACATGATAGTAAACTGAATATCTTTGGATTAGTTGGTTGGACAAAATGACATTTGAAGACATCACCTCATTTTTCCTCATTTTGACATTCTGTAAATAAATCAGTCAGTCAGATTAATCAGCACCTCCCGCATCTTTTTATTGGCATTTAGTCAGGATTTTCCTTTACTTTGTCACCTGTCTGAATTTTTTTGCTGGTTTTCAGCCCCAGCAGAAACTCGAACTAGGAGAGAGTAAAAGTCTGGTTTAGGTTTGTTTTTTGATGCATGAATGTGAAACATGTTTATATGTACACTTTGGCTTATTTGCCTCAATTGCAACTACACAAAACTAGAGTGTAAACAAATGCTCAGCTCCATATTTTTAATGTGATGCTGAAATGCAGCCATAAGCATACTGTGGCCTCTGGACTGATCATGCTCATGTATTTTGGTCCAGGGAGTCGCTCGGCGTCATCCTTCAGCCCATCAGCCGGAGCAAGGCCTCACACTGAGGAAACGTCTGACCTACTGCTGGAAACCTCCTATTACAATGTCTACCAGCCTTCACGCTACCCCACCTACTACAGCAACCTCTACAACTATCAGCAGTACCAGGTGACTAACAACAACTGCACTGCTGTTCATCAGTAACACTGCAACTGTGTTTAACAAAACTCTTTAAGCTGTAATGATAGGTATTCTACTGCAACATACATGTGGACACACCCCGACTCAGTAGCACACGTTGGTATGAATGGGGAAGTTGTTAATGCTGAACCCCGCGTGTTGGTTACCTGTTATTGTGCCTAAAGGGAGGACCTTTGTGCCACTGTTTTAAACTGCTGGGCTAGCACAGCAGGACGTGAGCATGTCTGTGCTTTAAGCTAAATTACAATTCATAACCTTATTCACATTGTCCTGTTATCTCAGTTTTGGCCTTTAGTGTTCAGTTTGAGCACAGACAGGACAGAAATTAATTCATCTGCAGTGTTTGTGTTATCTGCCAACAGCAGGAAGGTAGCATTAACGTGAGGTATAAATGATTTAAGCAACTTTTTAGCCAAACAAAACAAGAATTTATGCAGGTAAATACAATGCATATCTCCCAAAATGGTGCCCCCGCCCCAGCATTCAACACTGTGTAATGTGCCTTCACATTTTTAATGCCACACCAGCAAAATAAAACTGTAAAAAAAAAAAATAAAAATTTAAAAATCACAGCCAAAAGCAAGATGTCTGATCTTTGCACTGAAACTCTGAAGAGAAGCAAATTTCTATTAAAAATTAAAATGGGAAGAAGCATCATTTGATATGACAGTAATATAAGGCTCCAGGTGCGTGCGTGCGTGCGTGCGTGAGTGCGTGCGTGTGTGTCTGTATATTAGTGTTGCACGATCTACGGGTACACG